TTCATCTGCGATTAATTTGGCATACGGAGTTTTCACCAGAACAAAAGAACCAAAGGCTGGACCTAAGGAGGTCTTCATAGCTCTTTCAATTGCATGTAATTCTGCATTTTCAATTTGGGTATTTTTCTTTACCAGAAAGATAGATCCAAGCATTTATTAGGGACAGGCACCTCTACAAGGCACCAACATGGTATCCAGTGGTCCATCAGCGTGCACAACTGCAGAAACTGCCAAGGAGTTGTGCAGACATTCTGGATGGCAATTGTCAAAGAAAACCTGCTGGACAGCTGATGGGGTGCCCTATCTCAACAGGGCCAGTAAAAGGAGCTGAAATGCCACTGGGTGTACTCGCGCCTACACACCACGTACCTCTAAGGAAAAAGAGTAAACAGTCGCAGTTCTAACTAATAACATATACGTTCGTTTGAACAAATAAAGTCCTGACTAATAACAGACTGCACATTTGGATTGCTATTTGAAGATGAACATCACCCTTTCTAATACAGATGAGGGGCTGTGAAACAGGACAGGTAAGCAGATTGCTTTCAATATGCTTTGGCATCTATCAAGGTAAATCTGTGGTCTGACTAGCGGCCCGCTGAATGAAACTGAAATGATCTCAATAGACTGAGGAAAGTAAGTAAAAGAGACAGTGAGGATTATATCTGTTATGATGATATCTAATAATGAAGGTGCTTGATCACCATTTGATAGAAGAATTAAAAACCTGCAGATATACATACACACCTACCTAACCAAGAGAATGCAACATTTATTTATATTTTTGGTTATGAACCTCGTAATAGTTACCTATGCTTTATGCAGCACGTTGTATTTTATATGAATATATATTGGACTAGCCCTAAATCAACTGAACGCTCTGAAGCAGAAAGCAGCAACCACTTTCTTTAGCAGTATACTTTGCCTGAAGCACACTGTAATTTGACTTCATGACTCAGAAAACGTTATCTGTAATTTGGGCTATGAGATTTTTCTTGTTGCTGTCTTGATTTGTTTAAATGAATATACTATTAAAGAAACTAGGAAGTTACCTCTGTGTAATAATCACAACGGACAGCACTTAGAGACACATTACTCACGTATTTTCTGCCACCACGCTACAAGGATAGTTGTTCAGATCAAAGCTACCTTCTGGTGGTTCTGGCCCACTTGCGTGATCCACAGTAGCCATACGCCTAGTTTAGCTGGCAGATTAAACTGAACTTAACGGCTAATGGAGCAGGATAGCTGAAGCATTCTTGTTTATCTGACCCAACAGGTCACCTCAAGGGTTAGCTTCAAGGGCTACCTAAATACAAGGTGCATCAGCTATTCTAATAGGTTTACACCTACTGCATGCTTGCTGATGCACTGAAAGAGTGCTAGCTACAGCTCTTCTGCACTTGCTATTTTCAGTCTGTTTACTGTCCTGAAAGAGTTTCTCACAACTCCTTCTTTGCTTATGCCCTTAAAAGCACCAATTTGAATGTTCCGGATAGGAAAGCTTCTACCTCTTATTTCAGTAGCTGAACATGTCTAAAGAATTAACAAAAAAATATTTTAATATACGTTGCTAACAGTTTTGTCATTGCATAACAAAATGTCTGCATGCAGTTTTCAAATAAATCTCACTTAGGGGAGAGCTCTGATGCAGCAGCTCTGTAAGACACCTGTGTATTCATGCAGTAAGTGAAAAAAATACACCGAGTACAACCTTGTTTATACAACATTGGACTGCACTCTTGAATATACAAACTTTTTTTGAAATGCAATAGTAATGTACACTCAGAGTGCCTGGAGTTAGCAGCGCTCTCCCCACTGAGAGAAAACGTCTCTCTGCTGCCGGTGTTAATAAGCCGGTGCTATGATTCAAAGCTATTTCAAAAAAGAGAGCAGCATCTTTGTATGAGGCACCCTTTCCAGCACTAGGCAAACCCCTCCTGCCTTATCAAGCTTAATTCTTAATACACAGACTGTATGATATGCATTAAAGGTAGCATTTTACTAAAGAGGGAAAGGAAACTTATTCCATAGGTAAAATATACGTCTCGTAAGACTAAGAGAAGTACTATTTCGACATATTTATTACTTCCACAAGGGAGGACCAAATACTACAGCAGGATCAGCTCACTTTTCATCACTACCCAGAACTCAAATAGGCTTTCAAATAATACTATTTTTAAAATTTACAAATTAAAAAATCTAAGAACATAAAAAGAAAAGTGTTCCTGTCCTGAAGAGCATACAACCTAACACACGTAACTAACTGATATGAACCAAAATGAAAACAAATCTTGTGTGTGCATAAAAACGTCACTAATTCTCCACTTAAAATGTATTCTCTCCAGGATCAAAGTGCATGAAGACTCTCCCATGAAAACGAAAAAAGAATAAAATAAAAATAACCCCACCTGAACAAAAATAAATTGTTTTTTTCTAGGAGGCGGCATTTATCAAGTAGAAAATCTCTTTCAGCATTTGTCAAGTATCTAAAAATAAATCACATGTAATTGGCAAAATAAGAAAAACACTTGTATTACTCCTCACATTTACTTTAAATGGGAAAGGAATTAGGACCTTTTCTAAAACATAAGTAGTTTTATTTCATACACCTATTAACTTTTACTAGCATACATCATCATCAAGACTTACCTTTTTAGTATAGAGTTACTCTTAGCAGATGTGCCTAAGGCTAGCTGGAAACTAGTGATCTCAATTTCACTAACACTGCTCAATTGGTAGATATTGACTGTGTAAACATATGAATAACTAATACACTTCAATATTAAAGAAGAAGAAGACAAAGGCCCCAAAAGCACATTTGTACCACCTTAACCATTAATTAACAAAAATCTAACTTTCCCATCAGGTGTAACATGGATTAAACTAACGTCTGGTATAGCTAAGAAATAATGATGCAGATTGGAAGAGAATCTGCAAGTAACTAAATGGGGATAAAACTATCTTTCCATTTTGTACTCTGCCTGAGCATCGACAACCCCTGTATTCTCACCAATAAAAAAAATGACCACCTTTATCAAGCTCCTCCAAAAACACTGCCTACAGTAACAGCAAAGTAGAATGTTAAAGACTCTGAAAGATGCCACTTTTGGTCATATACCAGTCTCCAAAAGTCTTTTCGTCGGGGACCTTGAGACTTGCCTATTCAAATACAACACTAAGGCCACTCATTTAATTCCTTTTTTCCCAAATCACCTTTATATAATACTGTGAATATTCTGTACTGATTTCTTGGAAATTAGGCTGTTGCATCTCTATTAAAGATAGTGCTTTGTAAAAAGCAGTATCAAAGCACATACAATTTACTCTTTGTATTTCCAGACTGCCAGCTGATATGTATGTATAATTGTTATTTATATATACTTTACCTTTATATAATTTATATATGTGTATGTATGTATAGATACACAATTACTAATCTGGTCAAAAATACCTGTTATATGGATCATAATATTCTGAAATGCTATAGTTTCACTTTGTTCTTAAAGATTTTATTCAGAAGCTAAACTATAACATTTATTGTGTCAACTACAATCACAGCTTATTATTAGGTGCATGTATTATAACTTCCAAGTTTTGCCTCTGAATTATTAGCCTTCTTTGTATTATCCACGTATTCACAATAAAATTGCTGTCTTCTATGTGGGTGACAATGACTGTTTGATATAAAAGGACTGCTTTCAATCTATAATGAATAACCATGCAAGGCCCTGAACAGATGCAAAAGTTAAAAGATCAGCATGCAGATAATAATGTCACCCAGCTATTGCTTAATACTAGTACTGAGATTTACTGGGTCACTCATTCCTTTGAGTCATTTCTATAAAATAAGGTCCCCTACTAATACTGTATCTTAAATGTCATATATCTCAAGATTGTTGCACGTAAACACATTTGAAAACTTGTGCCTGCCTTACTCTTTTCATAGGTGTGTTCCACACTAGGTCAAAGAGGATTTGGACCTTCACGTCCAGATCAAGCTTGAACTGCACAGCAGCATTCGGTAGACAAGTCAGTTATGCGGTCCTGCATATCACATGCAACAAACATGATTTCTAGGCACAACCTAAACCATACTTACAAGGATCACCTTGTATATGGGTGGTGACCAGGAGCCCTCACCTGCCGCCTGGCCCACAGTCTTGAGAAAAAGCTATATAGTCACTAGCTTCAGTGGAGAGATTCATACAGAGTACAACTGGAGGATTCAAACCCCAGCTGTTTAAAACATGCAGTTCACCATTAAAACAACATAACCACCTGCAACAAATATCATAAACAACAATAAACAACACCAAATCCATTCTTGATAGATAAGCTGCCCACATAATCTACCTAGCTTTGCTAATTTAAAGGCAAACACTTATCTATACAAAGAACAATCGCTGAATACAGATACCCTCACGAACGTGAAGAATAGAAACTACTGTAGTGATCACTACCTCTTTGCCTAATATACAATGTTCCTCAATTCCTAAATAAAAGAAAGTTTATTACTTACTTTGAAGAAAAACTTTCACCCACACAGTACTGCAGATAGCTGACAGCGGCACTATGCTTATCCAAGAAAAATAAATAAGCTTACCTAAAGCACTTTGCTAGAGTACCCGTTCGAAATACCTTCAGCATGACCACTCTGAAGGTTAACTACAAATAGCTATGAAATTCAAATAGCAAATAGTTGGGGGCTTCCAATTTTTAGATTTACAAATAGTTTTACATAGATAGCATGAAGGCAAAAGGGTACAAGTGTACTAGGTCACTTTGAGCAAGTCACAAACTCTCTAAAAGTCAATTTTATCATCATCTATAAGCTGAGGGCAATGACACTCACCTCCTTGTAAGGTACTAGGTGACCAGTGATGAAAAGCAGGGTATAGAAGTTCATTTTTAAGTCATCACATTTATCTAATCATAAAAATCTAGTTTATTTTGAAGAACAGGAAGAATTATTTAGGTACACAACTTTTAATACTTACGGGTAAAATGATTAGAAGTGGATGGGTTGACACTGTCACCACTGTCAGCACTTTCACTGCTCGATATTTCATCATCTGATTCCCGCACAGAGGAACAAGGTGAGGAGCCATCAACTTCTTCAAACTTCCTCTTTAAAATTCCACTCATAGCTGCAATGCTGTCTCATGTACCTGTAACAGGAACAGAGGCAATGAAGCATTGAAACATCCAAAGGCAGAGTATGCAGTCATAGTCTCCAAAGTAATTTTTATTTAGCTGCCCCTTACACTCTTCAATAACTGTTCAGTATGAAATTAGATATAATATATCAGGAGACAGTGAAACCAGAGGAAAGAAAAAAGCATTCATAAGCCAAATTCTAACTTGCTATCCATGAAGATGGTTATTCTGCTAGAATAATGCGTATCAGATTGCTTTCTGAGGGGTGTTTTTGTCATTTGGAAGTTACCTCTTTTCATGGAAAGCACAGAAATTTTATTTGAAATACAGACTCCTTCAGGCCATGGAGAACTGTAACAGCAACAGCCTGATCTTTCAAGGTGCTTGGCACCCCTGATTCCATTGACATCAGTCCCTATCTGCATTAAATTGTGAGATTTCACAATTTCCTCCTCAAATGAGGAAAGAAATTAAGAGTTTCTCTTCAGACACCCTCACTTGGCCCCTCACACAGACACGAGTATCTCTGGCCATCAAGGCAGGAAGGAATGTTCACTATTAGAGATGGATTTAAAAGAGAAGAAATCACACTGAACACTCCTGTTCCCAGTGCCAAACATGCATTCACTAACTAGCGTTCATGTCACCCCTATAAGATATCAGAAGGGAAGCATTATCTGATGATTCCTGCATTACAGATAGATAAAATGCAATGAATTCCCTGACCATAACATTGGTATATGATCTTTGTGAATGCCTGGAATTCAGAAGTTCCCCATTCCAGTCAGAGACACTGACTGCTAGGCAATGCACCCTTTTTTTTTTTTTTTTTTTTTTTTATTTCTAGAGGAAATGCCTCCCAAACTCTCCTCTCCCCATAATAAGAAATGAGAAGCCTAATAAAGCCTTGAATTTGAGCAGAGGTTTAGAAAGGTAAGTATTCAAGCAGAAATTCAGCAGCAGAAGTAAAAATTTAACATGAATTGCACATCATTTAGGAGAAAAGCGTACTCTTAACTAACTGACAGAGATCAAGGACGCTTGGAGCTTGCTCAGCGGACACACACCTGTCACAGTCCCGAGCTTCCTTCCACAGCACTGCAGAGGCAAGCACTGCAGATTTTTATCCAGGTAAAAAGTTTATCTACGATTGGCAAGATGCTAGATTTACCAGGTAGGACACACTCTAGCACTATGGACTTACCAAAGACTACTGCCAAATCCCATTGAAAGACGAAAAAGAGAAATCTGCGTTCCTCATTGTAATGGAACTTTTTAAATTGCTGCTGCTGCTGCCTTGAGGGAGAGTTAATTCCAGGCCAAAACTGCATTCTTCTTCAACCAGGAGGTTGGACTAGATGACCTCCAAGGGGTCCTTCCAATTAACATGTCTATAATTGTATGTTAAAAGAAAAAACCTATCAAGAAACAAAGGTGTGTCAGGCTGACCAAGATTATAGGACACAAGGCTAAGAAACAGACTCAGGCCAAGAAACAGACTCAAGTGGTGGCCACGCTGTTTAACAATAAGCACATTTCCTCACAGTTTTGACCCAGGCCCACTAGCACTTTCCTCGATGTTGCAAGGTGTAGTAGGTGCCAAATCCAGAAGGCTGTTTTAATGCGGACACCCTGCTCTTAGTAGAGGGGTGACAGCTTAGCCTTGTGGACAAGAACCACGCCCTATCACTTGGCCTCATAAGCCAGAGAACCGTCCTTGATCTGCACCTTTTTATCTTTTTAGCTAACACAGTGATAGCCTCAGGGACATAGCTGCTATGTTCTGCTCCTATAAACGCAGCACTTCAGTAGATCTGAAGTCACAGACCTGTGCTGAACCTCAGACTTGACCTAGTATTGAGTAGTTTCAATGACTGGTATGAATGCCATAGCTCCTTTCAGCCTCTAATACAGTTTCCTTTATATAAAAAACCCAAAGCGATAGTGTGTGAAAGGGCTGGTGCGCAACCAACTTTTAGCCTGATACGAAGCTGGAAGAGGACAAGGGTGTGCATATGAACCTGAGCTAGGAAAAAAATATTGAAGGGCTCGCCAGGTTACAGACAGGCTACAAGACTAATTAAGAAGGTAATTCAGCAAATACTGAGGTCTGTCTATAAAAGTCCTAGGAATGAGGCTGCAGAATATTATGGTTTCACCCCAGTGCAGCACAAAGTTCATTCTTGCTATTTGTTCTGCTTTGCTGACAAAGCATTTTACCTTGTCTGCCAGCACCTATACACAGGAAAGGGAGTTATGGGCAGGCTTAAACTTGCCTTCATAAGCCAAAACTAGAAATTATAGATACATAATACAATTTTTTTTATGTTATTTAATTGCAAAGACGAGAACAGAAGTCTTAAGTCTTATGATACGGGAGATCATCCACCTCTTAAGAAGCAAAAGCTCTTGAGGAGCTCATACATGATTGCACCAAGTTTGAATATCCTGTCTCGAGTAGTAGTCAGTATTTGATACTTCAGTGGAAAGCATTGCAGTGAGAAATCCAGCCGCAACCCACTGTAGATACATGGCTCTGCTCCCTGACCCCTGCATCCAATTTACCCTAAGCATATGACTAAAATATTGCTATATTACAGTGCACAGCCTCTTATAAATTCACCCGACTTGCTCTCCCAAGGCAAAAAGTTCCATATTAGTTTATCAAAAATTCCCCCCCAAATCTCCCAAAACTGCAGTCAAAGACCTTTCAAAACTACAGGAATGTCAGCCTTTACAATATTTTTTACAGTAAAAGGCAGCAGAAGCGTGCCAGTGTCCAGCAGCATGCTGTACTAGTACTCTTTACATATATACATACTTCTCACAAAGTGCACATAGCTGAAGAGAAGTTGCTGAGTTCTTACATTTTCATAATGATATTTCCATTTCAACACCAAGTAGCAAATGCATTACCGAGGAGGTGCAGTACATCCATTGACCCTGTATGGAGCTTCGAAAAGTCTTTAAAATTGCAGAGGGAGAATGGGACAGTAAGCCCAAAGCTATCATACCACTTTAGTCTCCTGAAAGCACCCAGTCTGTTAGTGCCTGTATTTTCAATCTCATAGCTTTGAAATTTGTAACATTCTGCTTTGGGGAAATTCTACAAAGCAGCACAGGCCCTTCCTTATACTACTACAGTTTTAGTATGATAACTAAAGTGTTCACTGGCCAGAGCAAGTAAGAAAAAGTAAAGAAAAAAATGCACAGATCTGAACGTGCTTGTCCGGTCAGTTATTGTTCAAGTGGATTCTTCACAATCTTGTGTTACAGATTCACAAAACAAGAAGAGGAATCCCATTAGAAGGTATCTTCTTCTTGAGCGCAATGTATAGAGAGCACTGGTGCCTCTACACACCAGTTTCTTTTTTCAAGAAACCTGCCTATACAGGTTTCTTGATTCTGCTGCGGGAACTGGTGTCAAACTCCCTATGGCCAGAAAATAAAATCAAAGGGGTCGAGACAGGTACACATTGCCAAGTAAACACATTAGAGTCACCACTAAGAGCAATCGTACTTGCTCATTCTACTCTAACCTCTAATTGTCTTATTTCTTCTTATTATATTAATGTGATGCTACTTAGGACTAATCCTAAAAACCTACTCAGAAACAAAAGACCTGTGGTCCTCAAAGACCACAGGCTAACCCCACCATGCAACAAAATACGTTTCTGCTTCAAGTCAGCTGTTGGAAAGAAAGGATATTTTACAGCTATTTTGACATAGCTATGGAATACATGCACCTTCTTAGAGTGATGTCGTCGCATTATGTTACTAGGCCTTTGCATGAGAAAACCAGCACTACTGGCACTGTAATTCTGCCCTGTCTTCACACACAGTGGGATTCTGATCTAAAACACTTTGACGGAAATGTTTGAAAAACAAGAGAGGTGTGTTAAATAATAAGATCTCTGCGGGAATAATGCTTGGGCTTGCCCATTCCATAACTCCTTTTCTGAACACTGACCTCTCTCCCCTTCAATAAAAGGGAATTTCATTCTTTTCATTTATCTACTGGCCATCTTAAAATCAACTTTGCTCTCTTAGCACCCTTAATTAGATTAAATTTGTGTGTCATATGGAATTAACATAAAATCATGATTACAGTTTAAATATTTAGTTGGAATTTCCCCGTGAGGAAATATACATCTAAACAATGTTTGATTTAATTGAGAAAGCATTAACAACTGGAGTTAGAGTGACATAGTATTAGTTGTAGCCTATCTGCTTTCTTTCAAAATATTTCCAGCCATTACGACTTTAAGTGTGGAAGAAGTGAAACATAAGTAGAAACAATAAAAGAGACTGCCGAGGAGATGGTCAAAAGAAATGACTATAACAACTTCAATGGCTAGATAAATACAGGCTAAAAGTCAAGTCAAGGGTAAAGATATAAATTACTACTGCCTCTGGCAGGAATCAATTATGCTGACTGTTCTGACCTCTAAACATGTTCTTCTGGAAAGGAGAACATAAAGAGCTTGCTATTCCTTCATTTTTCATCCATTTGCTCTCCTACCTCCTTCTCAAGTTTCATACATCCCTTCATACATGTTTAAACTTGGCAAAAAATATTTCAAAAGGTAAAAGATAAACGGCAGAAGTATCTGTGCAACAATTCACCTATAACACATAAACGTGTCACGACACCTACGGCTAGATTTGATTACAGCCTTCCATAGTAAAACTTACTTTCATTGGCTTTTTAGTCTGATCACTTCTAAAAACAAACATCAGGGAAAATGTTTTACCTATGTTAAAAAGCAAAGAAGCAAACAAACAAACAAAAACTTGCAACTTGGCTGAAAAGCACTCTCACTCCCAAGAACTTCGAGAAAAAGACTTGAAATTTAGCAGAGGCATCTTTCAGATGTTGAAGATGTATCCACACACACAAAAAAATTGCCCGAATTAATTAGCTTCTGGGAATGACAATAAGGATTTAAAAGCAGCACCACGGGAGAGATACAATAGGAGAGGAAAAAAGGATGAGAAGGGCCTGAAGAGT